AATGCTGTAAGCTTCCTTCACTATGGCCTGGTATACTCACAATGTTTCTTTGCTTTTACTTTCTTTTTATATTACAGGGAAGTGCTCGAAGGCTTGTGAAAGCCGCGCTTCAAGAAGCAGCGAAGAAGAGAGAGATGAGGTACTCTGACCTGAAGAAGATTGATCGAGGGGTCCGCCGCCATTTCCACGACGACATAACCGTCGTTGTCGTATTCCTTGACTCAAACCTCATTAGCCGTGCCAGCACGACGCGGTCTCCAACTCTCTCGGTAAGGGGAGGCGGGGTCAATCTCCCCTCAAACTCTCTTGCACCTTGCTCAACACCAACAGACGGTAACTCTTGATAAAATAGGGAAGGTAAGAGTGCAGTTTATGATGGAGTTGTTTTTAATCTGCAGGATACTGAAACCTTGCTAAAGAATCAGGTTGTCTATGTTATAATATGTTAGTCTTATAAAGTAGAAACCATAAGGTAGTTATTTATTAGGAATTTTAATTTTTTTTCTTTTTTTTAGAAGCTTTTTCGTTCCTCTTTTTTTTTCTTTTTTTGTAAATTCTTGTGGTACTATAATCCTTTGCAATCTAATCGTTCTTTCTTCTGTCGGTGTATTTCTCGACTCTGTTACATTTGTTGCAAATACGTATCTCTACGGATAACTTGGGGAAAGAAAAGATTGCTGGACTCTGCGCAGGCTGAAATAAGAAATGTACTTATTTTTAAATGATTATTATTTGTTCGTTTGTTAGGTGCGTAATATTACAGTTATTGCGTGATTAGTAACCTATTCTCAAATCTATGCGTATCTTTCCCTTAACAAGCAAGTTGCTGCTACAAATGATTGGAAGTTTTATATCTGGGTTGCTAGTTCTTTGTTTGTTAGGTTTATATTTTCCAGCTTACATTTGTTTTCCTTTTATTTTCTTTTAAAAGTTCCGTATCACGGTAGTAGGAATATCTTGGTCTAAATACACTTTTTGAGTTTTCACTGGTTTTCAGGGTGGCTCTTCGCAATATTTTTCTGGTATATGCAATGCGTTTGCTTCTTGTAGCTCTTGGTATCTAGAATTGTCCCATTTTACGTTTCCTATCAAATAATATTGGGTGATCGTAATATAAGACTCTTGGAGATCCTATTCAATATTAGGAAACCTCTCGTCGTTATCTTTTAATTGATCATGGGGAGAGAACCATAGGTGTCGACATAGGATTTGGATCCTCTCCACTACAAAAAAGTAGTGGAGAGATCACTGCTTTTAATCTCAATCGTTGATTATTTAGTAGGCGGTTATGATACAATCTAAATCTAACACTTACCATACCTCCGTGTATTGCACTCATTCCTAATTTACACTAAAAGAAAAAATCACAACCATTAATTAGATAATCAATGACCGTGATTATGTAGTGGTTCCTCCACTGTTTTTTTGTAGTGGAGAGGATCCGAATCCGTCGACATAGGAGCTAAACTTAGAACTATTTTTTTCCCCACTGGATTCCTATTTGTAATTTGGTACTACCTAACAATTCCTTGAGAAAGAAAGGGGGAAAACACCTAAATTGAGGGTGGAGGATGCCTTGCACGAAAGCAGCAGTTGTTTAAATTTCAAAAAAAAAAAAAAAATTGCAAATTACAGCTAGGGGGAGTCCATTGAGAAAGTTCAAGTGTAAGAGGATCACTGCAAAGTTCAAGGGGGGTTAATTGAGAACAAAATGTTCCATAGGGTTATGCACAAAACCCCCAGAGATAGGAGGTTAATTGAGACAAAAATGTTCCATAGGATCACCGCAAAAAGATTAATCTCAAGAACGTATTAATTATTTGCAAATTACAGTTAAGGAGTCCGTTGAGAAAGTTTTAAGTTTAAGATGATCGCTGCAAAAGTTCATAGGGGGTTAATTGAGACAAATATGTTCTATAGGGTTATGCGCAAAGCCCCCAAATATAGGAGGCGTTTTTTGCGAAATTAACCCTTTTCATAACATCGTCTCATAACTTGATTGAGTTGCATGACGGTTACCAGTGATATTTTTATAGTTTACCAATACGCTAGTTACTTTCTGATAATGGTGATCATTTGTTTGATATAATGCCAATAATCACGGCAAATAGAATTTTTTTTTGACCAATTAAGAACCTAACTAAAATATTGGTGGGACATACTTCAAAGTCAGGAGCATGCGGAGTTATCCGTTTGGATGAAGTATTTTACCCCGAAAATTAGGAGGAAAGCTGTCAAAATGATAGTTTTTTGACAGCTTTCCCCCAAAATCATCTCTTAAAATCGCCTATTGAAGAGGCGATTTTAAAGGAAAGCTGCCAAAAGCTACCATTTTGACGGCTTTCTTTTTAATTTTCGGGGCAAAACACCCCATCCAAACGGGCGCTTAAGAGAAAATTTATTGCCCTTGTACATTCACCATGCCTAGGACAGTAAACGACCATCATTTACGACCTATGTCGCTTGAGCTCGTTAATTTACAGAGGAAGGTGGAACAGTGCCCATCAAGGAGAAATTCAATCCCATTCTCAAAACATCTTTGATGTGTTGAGTTTGGTACCACTTGATTGGGTAGTGCATTAAAAATGAAATTGATGTGATATTGACATGCCATTATGCTAGAGTGTACTGTGTGTACCCTTGAATAATTTATAGGCAACGGACCCATTGTTGGTGGTATAACTCGCTACTCTAGAGTTCAGATGGGATTTAGAGGGGGGAGAAAAAAATCAACTCTTTCTTAACCAGATTAGCGGATACTAATGTGATTAAGAAGCTAAGTTGCGTTAGACTCGGTCCAACTTTTATTGATTTATTTTCTCTCTCTTACCAGCATTAGGATGAAGTTTTACTGTGGTACTTATAGAGACCTCGAAGTTGAGGTCAACTAGTAAAACATGTGAGCGTAAAAAGAGACCACGAGTTGGAAGCCATTCCCATCAGGGACCTTCTTTCATGCAATACAATAGAAAAAGCCCAAAAATAGAGTCTACGAATGAGGTAAATTAACTCCAGTTAATTTTCTGTAATGGGTTTATTGTTCGTCGTAAAATGGATCTCAAAATTTGTATTAATCGAGTTGTTTGTTACAAATCGAAATCGATTTTATACAGAAGCAGAGAGAATGAATCTAATCTCTCATTGTTTAACGTGGATTCTTTAGGGCGATAGGATGCCTCCCTCGATGTTTGCTTCGAGTTTGCTTCATTTTGACTATTTGAACGAGATTGCGAACAAACTTCAGCGCGTGGTAGAAGTTTTGTAGAATGAGTTCGAAACCCAAGCTAGGAATCAAAGGCCGAAAGCACAAGAAATGCTTGAGTTCGGTTCTTTTGAATGCCCGAAGTCTTGATTGCCAAAAATTCCCATAAGTTCAAGATCCTAGAAAAATCCCTTCTCCATAGCCCTTCTTGGCTTTTTATAGAGAAGAGTCATCGTAACTAACACCTTAGAATGTAGGAAGTGGGCGTAACCACTCCCATATTTTAGTAGATAGTTTTTTAAACCGTTTAGGCAAGCTAGGCGAACAGGCGAGCTTGGCGAACATGCGAGGTTGACAGGCGAACCTCATTAAGCGTTCAGGCGAACTTAAACCCTGTTGGCGAGCTTAGATCGTACGGGCGAACCTCCTATAGGCGAGCTTGTCTCGTGTAAGCGAAGCTAAGTTGTTTAGGCTAACTTAGCTACGCTGGCGAAGTAGGTGAGCTAAGCATTCAGGCGAGCTTAGCTAATTTGTAGGAGAAGTTGGATCATGTAGGCGAACTTCGTTCAGGCGAGCTTAACTCATAGGTGAAGTCAAGCATTCAGGCGAACTTAGTTTCTTTTAGGCGAAGCTCAATGCTCAGGAAGGCTTCACTTCGCTTGTGAAGTCAAGCGTTCAGGAGAACTTGACTTGGCCTATTTGATTCAGACGAACAAGTCAAACGAGCTTTGTTCTTGCGAGCTTGGATGTTCAGGCGAAGTCTTGCAGGTGAATTCCTGAATTTTGGGATAAATGCAATTTTATTTGTCTACAAAACCCCCTTCAAAGTTTTCAGACCCGAATCAAGTTGCTTGGGTCTGGAATACTTTGAATAAAAATGATCATCGTTCATTGGTTCAGGCGAAAAGAGCAGCTTTTCAGCGACCTTGGTCATTCTGGCGAAGATGAGTTCATCAAGCGAACTCAATAGATTTAGCGAGCTAAGTATTCAGCCGAACTTAGCGTGGCAGGTGAGCTTGAATATGTCAAGAGTCTCTAAATCCGAGAGTTTAGATTGAGACTTTAAAAATGCCAAGGGGGCTGACCCAAAGAAGGTCCATCCAGCCACTTAAAAGGTTAAGTTCTAAAGAAGACCAAGACCAAGCTTGTTTGCGTCGAAAATTGTTGTATTCATTGCGGTATTCATTACAACTTCGATCGTTACAATGAAAACAAAAAAAGATTGTCTTTTTATAAGACTTTTACACAATGAAAACAAAAGTTTACAACTCTCGTCAAAACAAACGCAGAGGACGTTTATCACCCGCTGCTTTGCGTGGGATCTTTGCCTGTGCCGGGGTTTATCCGTGGACCGCCTTAGATCTGGATCCGGTTAATGGAAAATTCGGCAGAGCTTCGCCTTCGCCGAGGAAGTATTTGATTTGAAGCGCTGAAATCGACCAAGCGAAATCAGGGCTCTTCTCGAGATTAAGACCAAGCCTAATCTCAAGGGACGGACGGGAACGGGCGTCGGATCTCTCGAACTCTCCTTCTTTATGCCGAAGAACTCGCCAAGATCTGTCAACCCTCGCTGAAATTCGTGCTCCTTTGACTCCACAATCCGGCAGCACCTCCTCGTCTTGATAATCAATCGCCCCCGCTGAAAGGAGGCCCTATGCTTGTATTTATAGGGCTTCGGAAGTGGTTATTTGGATGAGAACAAGTGTGAAAGGAGGCCCTATGCTTGTATTTATAGGGCTTCGGAAGTGGTTATTTGGATGAGAACAAGTGATTTTGGCCTTATCTTTAGTCAATAAAAGCCTAACCACGTTTGTAGATGATATCAAGTCAGTTTGGATGCTCAGGAACCAACAAATCTCGAGAAAAACCATCAAAAACCGAACCGGGTCGAAACAGTGCGCGCAGGACAGGTCTGACCCGCGCTTGCGCGGTTCGGACAGATCCGACCCGCGCTTGCGCGGGTCGGAATCATCCGACCCGCGCATGCGCGGGTCGGATTGATCCGTCCCGCACTTGCGCGGGTCGGATCATCCCGTCCTGCGCTAGCGCGGGTTCACCGACTTTTTCCCTTTTCTGTTTCCTTTCTTCCGGGACTTATTCTTGTCGCGTATTCGGTCGATTTGTTGACTTGTATGCTTTGTCGCGAGCTGACTGTTGAGCGCGCAAGTCACTTGATTCGCCGTTTCGCTTCAGGCGCTTGTCGGCGTCAGATAATCCTCTTAGACTCGGATAACGATGTTCGTCGTCTTCTCTCCGTCTCGAGCTGTGTGCGGACATCTATAGGCATTTTTAGACGCCTACAGATACCCCCTCCAAAGTATTCCAGACTCATTCTTTTATTGAGGAGTCTGGAATGCTTTGGATAAGATAGGCCATCTCCTCAATTTCGTAGAGTGACCTTGAACTA